CTTTCACAAGGTCTGGCTCTATTGCCTGGGCAAGAGGACAGTGGCATCATCACAGCTCACTGCAGCCTCAAACTTTTAGGTTCAGGCCACCTTCCTGCCTCAGCTTCCTAAATAGCTAAGACTTACAGGCATGCACCGCCATGCCTGGATACTTTTCCTATCTTTTTGTAGAGATGAAGTTTTGCTATGTTGTTCAGACTGGTCTTGAAGTCCTGCCCTCAAGTGATCCTCCCACGTCACACTCCCAAAGTGTTATGATTACAGACATGAGCCAGACTGGCCACATTTTTATTTTTTTATATTTTTACCCATCTCAAAATTGGTGCCAAAGATGCATTAAAACCTTGAAAGTCTTGCATCCTGTCCTCCTTGGCTCATTCAAAGCAAGACCTAGAGATGAGTAAGGGGAGCTAGCCACTGTCCAGAGGAGACTTGTCAAGAACAAGTTGGGTTTTAGAACTCAGGCCCGCCTTTGGGGGTTGTGCAGGTCTCACATCTCACATGTTGGGCCTCATCTTTGCACTTACACATTTAATCAAAAAGTACTTGTGAATCACAGTAATGCATCAGGTACTATTCAAAGAAATTGCTATAAAAAGGCACATGTTCATTGTTAAACAGCTAGAAGTCCAGAGAACTCCCTTTAACAACAAGATATAGACTGTGTAGGAAAATATTGAAATGCAGATGCATATCAATAAGACATAAGTTTTGAAGGAATATTCTAATACCGCCTCTGCCTGATCAAGAAAGCTTTGTCAGTTTCTGGTTTTAGTGGTGTAAGAAGTAGATATTAAGGCTCGGTACCTCTAGCACAATAGTTAGGGCACCGGCCACGTACACTGAGGCTGGAGGGTTCAAACCCAGCCTGGGCCTGTTAAACAACAATGACAACTGAAACAAAAAAATATCCAGGTATTGTGGGCGGGCACCTGTATTCCCAGCTACTTGGGAGGCTGAGACAAGGGAATCACTTAAGCCCAAGAAGAGTTTGAGGTAGCTGTGAACTGTGAAGCCACAGCTCTCTACTAAGGGCGACATAATAAGACTCTGTCTCAAGAGAAAAAGAAAGTAGATATTAAAATAAAACTTCCACATGAAACTATATTCTAGATATATTTGTAGCAAAAATGCATGGGAAGTGTTACCTAGCTAATAGATTACATTCTCTGAAGACCTATGTAATTAGATTATGAGTCAGCAAAAAGAAAATTGCAACTTTTAATAAGCCATACATCTGGAAATAAAATACAATTTCTATATTATTCATGGGTTCAAGATGAAATCAGCAAATACTTAGAACTAAATGAAAATACTGTATATTCCAATGTATGGGATACAGACAAATGATAATAATGGGAAATTTTAAAGTTATATAGTATTAGTTTTATATGTGTGTGTGTGTGTCTCTGTGTGTGTGTAAGCATCCTATGTAAGCTAGAATTTAGAAAAGAACAGAAGAAATTCAAATGTAGAAGGAAGGAAATGAGGAGTGAAAGAGTAAAAATTAATAAGCTGGAAAGCAAAGATAAAATAAACAGCCATCTATCAAAGTTAATTCAAACTGGGAAAGTCACAAAGTACAAGATAATGAAAAGAAGAAAAAACTACAGATTTTAAAATAGTGAAAGACTATTATGAATAATTTTATGTCAACAAATTTGAAAACTTAGGAATTATTGGTAAGTCTAGAAAAAAATCTAGTCTGCTTTGGAAAAGAAACATCATAAATTGTCCCATAGTATTAAGAAAATTAAATCAGCATTTTAAAGATTTTTTTTTTTAAATGTCAGGCACAGGTGGATTTTAAGGGTGGGTTATACAACTTTCAAGGAACATTTAGTTTCAATTGTATAGAAATACATTCTGAGAACAGAAAAATATGTCATGTTGTTAAGTCTATTTTATGAGATAGGTATTATCTTGCATCCAAAGCAGACTAAGTCAGTATGAGAAAGTTAAAAAATCCTAAAACAAACATTAGGAGATTGAATTTTTAATACATTAAAAAGATAACTATTATTTTTCACAGGGAAATGCTAAACTTGCTGAAGTTTAAAAATGTGTAGATTTCACTGCATTTGCATCTTTATGACAAAAGCGAGGATAATCATCAGAATAGATGCAGGCACAGGTTCCATTAAATTTTATAAAATAAATATTCAAAAACCTTAGGAATTAAGAATAAATGGAATTTCTTTAACCTGATAAAGGTACTCTAAATTTTTGTTAATATAGCATAATTGAAATGGAACCTTAGTAACATTCCCTTTAAAATTAGCACTGAGATAAGGAATGAAAATGGGTTAGTCTGAAAATGCACCAAAGCAGAGATAGCAGTTTTTAAAATTACCATCTAAGAGGGAGAAAAAACTTGAGAGGGGGAGACATCTTGTAAGATTGGAGGTAAGGGAAAGTTGTAAAGTAGTAATAGCAACTAACAGCTCTACAGGAAATAAGAAAAGTTTACCAGGTATTAGAATATACTAATCTACTCCAAACAGTGCCACCTCAGTACTGCTCTTTAGGGTACTAGTAAGAGACAGCTCGTCAGCCCCCTAATCCTTCAGCACCCTTACGTCTGCAGATTCTGGAAAACCCAGGATATTTCTAAAGAGTAAAGTATGACTGTCAATAGAAACACAAAGTTACTATATGAGGAACACGGAAAGTAGGAATAACAATCTCTCAGTAGATGAAAATACTTCTCCAGGAAATGGAACTACAAAGCAGATTACTATAAAATAACTGTCCAGTATGGATTAAATCACTAAATAACTGTTCATAGTTATAAAAATATTTTTAAATATGTATTTTTAATTTCTAAGGAAAAGGCAAAATGAAATTAAGCCATGATAGCTGTCCTAAGTGGGGTTTCACAGAAAACAAGCTGTGGAACGAAGGTGAGCCTGCAGGACAATTGTTCCAGAGGATGACAACTTTTGAAAGGAGGGGCAAGAAGCAAGATTCAGGAGAAGAATTTGAGGTGGAGGCCCTCTGGATGAAGTCCTCTGCTGACATTTCAGAGAGTTTAGGCCTGGCCTGGCCTGGCCCTTCAGAGTAGTCCCAGATCAGGGCAAGAGGACTGAATTTTCATATTGCGACGTTGATGAGACTGTCCCCTAAGTGGGGCTGCCTTTGAAAAGAGGTGTAATCTTGGGCGGAGCAGTGTTCTCCGGAGCAGGCGTCTTCCTAAGCGTGGGTTGCCATGACAAGTATCAAAGTCCAGGTGGCTGAAACAGCAAACATTTGTTTCTCACCGTTCTGGCGGCTGAGAAGTCCCTGAACGAGGTGCCAGCAAATAAGTTTCCTAGCGAGAACCCACTTTGTGGCTTGACATCGATGGTGGAATTCCTGCTCTATCATCTCTCGCTTTTCTCTTATTCTAAGGGAACTAATTCTGTGATGAGAGATCCACTTTGAAATGATAATTTAATCAGGGAAAGGTCATGAGAGATTCTAAAACTACTGAGTGAAAATTCAGGGAGAAAGACGTCCCACTTTTAATAACAAGGTAAAATTATCATCCATACAATATATTTTCAAAAAATATTTTCCCCGAATTAAATAACTAGAAAACAGATAAACCCTATGCTCAATATTTTGTATAAGGATCAAGAGTCTTAAAAAGGGTAAATTTTATAGAAAACAAAAAAGACAGAATGACAGTTTTGCTTTAAAAGACTAAAGAGATGACAACTCCATGCATAGCCAAACTTTGATAGTTATTCTACTTATAAACATATAATACATAAAATTATGTATGTAGAGGGTGACCATGAAGTTCTTGTGCAATTTAAAATAAGCAGTCAGCCATTTTAAATAGTTGGACTCTCTGTATTTATACACACATATGAAATTAAGTTATTTGGGACAGTTACATAAACTTTAAACTACATATTTAGATGATAATAATACAGTTTTCATTGGGTGATTTGCTTATATGGGAAAATATTTTTAATCTTGAAAAATATGGTTAGTGTTGAAATAACCTGATGTCGGCAACTCTCTTTCAAATGTTTCCGCAAACTAAATGGAGGAGATAGCTAATCCTCAAAAGGTCGACATTTTGTGACCTAGGTAAAAAGTGTGTCTATCCACTGCACTGTTCATTCAACTTTCTGTAGGTTTGAATATTTTCTAAATAAGTAGAAAACAGATGCAATAAAGTTACTAACTCATTAATAGGACCAAAAAAACCACACATAATTTGATTAAAATAGCTGTGGTTCAGAAGTAGGGAAATGGTGGAACAAGAAAACCTCATATTATTAGCGGAGTATAAATTGGTTACAATTTTGAACATAGTTTGTCATTAGTTAAGTAGAAGCCATGCTTATCGTCTTACCAAGAAATCTCATTTTTTCTCAGAAAAATCCCTACCATGCACATCAGGATCTAGTAAAAGAAGATCCATAGGCAATTTTTTTCAATATCAGAAATTTGGAAACAACACAAACATTAGCACATGAATTAGGCTGCACTCTTAGAGTAAGATGCCATATAGCTGGGGAAATAAACTGTGGCCATCACAATCAACATAGATTCATCTCAGAAACTAATTATTGAGTGAAAATAGAAAACCTTATAGTAATTCTCATACTACAAAGGTTAAAAGTCATGTAATGCTGAGTATTAATATGGAGTCAAGTTTGTTCTGAAATGTTCTATTTAAAGCCGTCCAAATTGCACCACTGCTGGCCACTGAGATGAGAAGTCCTACTTTGGTGCCAAATGCTGCTGCCAAGACAGTGCCCTTGGCATAGTTTCACCTGAAGGACTTTTCTGAATTATTTTCCTACTGCCCAGAAATAAAGGCACTGTTTGCCTCAGTCGGTGTTTATAGGAAGCCGCGAGCATCCTTTAGATTTAGAACAGAAAACCAAATGGTAGCTGAGAATTAAAGAATTAAAAGTGACACAGGCAGTTGGTACTTTCGTGTTTACCAGAGAGATGCTGTTTAAATAAAAAGAAAATCAATATTTTCTATTTCTTTGCAGAGTAAAAGTGAGCAAATTACCGTGCGGCATCTGACATCAGGAAACTGGGAAGTGATAAAGATCTTGGCATACGATGAAACTACTCAGAAAATGTGAGTGTTTTCGGTTCTCTAGTCAGGCTTAAAGTCAGGGTTGTCAAATGCTATCTTTTCTGCTAGAATTATGTTTCGTTACTGTAGCCCCAGTCAAAACAAGCCAGCTATAAAAAGAATAAGTTTTTATTTAAAGACAACCTTGACACTTCACCCGGAGACATCTTATCACAGATGCCCGCAATGCACGTACTGCACACACACACACACACACACACACACACTCAGAGAGATTGAGAGATTATGAAAAACGGTGATCTTAGGTTAAAAAAAAAAGTTCACCAAATGGATCCTAGCTTTATAGTTGAATAACAAAACAGCTCTTGCCTGCTTCTTGACAGTTTTGAAAATTTAAGTGAAAACTCAGCATAACAAATAGATCCATGTCTGACGGTTGTGATGTTTTCTTTCCCGGACAGTTACTTTCTAAGCACCGAGTCTTCGCCCAGAGGAAGGCAGCTGTACAGGTGAGTGGTGAGCCAGGATCACCCACCCAGGTTGGCTTCTCAGTGGCCATCTGGCCAACACCATGAAGGGATGGAAAAATCGGATACATCATTTCAACACAGCTAGAGGAGAGCGAAGTCCATAGGATAAAACTCCACGCTCTTGGTCCAGTCCCTTGGGAGGACCAGGCCTGGGTGGAGACCATCCTCCCCCTCCTTAGTCTTCTTTTCATTTGCTGTTACAGTTTCAAAATTTCCTTCCTTTTGTGGTTTGCTTCTTGCAACCCCCCACCCCCCGACACACACACACCAGAGGCATTTACCTATGATTCTCTGTGGCTTCTGCTTATGCCAAGACTCTGAATTTTCAGCGCCTTAGCGTGGCACACATGAAATTTGTTCCCGGGCAGCGTAATGGCATTGTGAACACTTAGTCAAGTGTATCAGTGGAAGCTTCCTTTTTGTCCCGTAGCTCATAAAATCCATGAGGTGGTTCAGGAGGAGGCACCCTTTGTTCATTGCTCACTAAAATAAATCAGTGCATGCAGAATACTTGCTTCTGCCCAATTACCCCACATGCAAAGCTATATTCATTAAAAGGGCTTAAGATCATACCTGTTTAGTATTAAAATGTCTCCTCACTCAAAGAGTTTTCACCAGGACCCCACAAGAATGACTTTTATTTTTGGCTGATAGGAAACCTATTAAGCCCAGACTCTATACACACGCTCTGATTTCCATTTCACAGATCCATTTTTAAAGTGTCAAAACTGCCATGGCATATTCTCAGTGGAAATTCATCATGTTTGAAGAACTGTCACCACCGATTTTTACCAAATTCTAGACTTCCCTTTGAGAGTGAAATGCATGTTTAAAGTACCCCAACTTCTTCAAATTAACCCACATACTTACTTATACACAGTTTGCTTTCACCTGCCCCAAGCCTCTGCTTTTATCTCCCTCTCAGGAGATCATTTTTACATTCTTAGTTCAGGCTCTTAAACCTTTTGAAACCCACATTCTCAATTCTAATGACTTCTAGGGAAAGAGAAGCTATGTATTTAGAGATACTTAGTCAAATTTTGGTTTAGAGGTCTTGATTGAAGTATTGGTCACTTTGCCTTTTTAGTGACCCAAAGCTTATCTTTTTTGAAACATACATTATGATTGAAATTGGTAGCCATTAGCAATACTTTAGAGAGGTGGAAATAGTTGGTCAATACTTGACCAAACTCCCATTTTAGAAAACTCTTCAAGAAAAGTGACAATGTCGGAATGTGAGGCTTAGTCAAGTTCAGCAAATGCACCTGCCTCAATTTTTCTTCCCCTTATTAGTCTAAAACAGTGGTTCTCAACCTTCCTAATTCCACGACCCTTTAATACAGTTCCTCATGTTGTAGTGACCCCCCAACCATAAAATTATTTTCAGATAGAGGAGCAGTGTCTCGGTTCCTAAGACCATTAGAAATATGTGTTTTCCTGATGGTCTTTGGCGACCTCTGTGAAAGGGTCGTTCAACCCCCAAAGAGAACCGCTGGTCTACAATGTGACTTGAATCACAATGACTCCTTAGATTTGTGTGAATATCTTATCTCTCTTGTGACTGAGGCAGAACAGTCTGACCTATACTAGTGTAGCCACCTGCATCATAAAGAAAACGTAGTAGACATAAATCTCCCCTTATATAGCCATCAAATGCCACTCAGCTTGATGGCAAGATAATACCAGTGTATGACACAGAAAAATGCAATCAATGTCTTGCCGAGGCTATTAAATTGATCACTGGTTGACAATGTATAGCATTCGATACCCCTGCAGAACCAGAACTGTTACCATGTTCATTGTTACTTTTGGTCTCTAATTTGCTTTTCTTTATTCCAAAAATCTTATAATCTAAGTAATCAGAACATAACAGCATAAATACCCAGGAAACTTGGATCTGAAAGCTTTATGGAAGAATAGAGAATGAAAGATTTTATATCTTAGAATGTCACTCAATGGCTGTGCACAATTGGGATGATTTTGAGGCCTCTTTGTGTTGATGGTTGTACAATAATGTAAATATAATTAATGAAACTGAATTGTATCATTAAAAAGGGTTAAAATGGAAAATTTTATGTTGTATACATTTTACCACAATTTTAAAGAGAGAAAAAATGAGTATGATTATTTTAAAAGTTATTATAAGAGTAAACTAGTTAATGCATTTTAAACGTCTAGTATTTCTTACTTGCTTTGACTGTTAAAGGGAAACAGGGGATTATAATCAAGCCCACAATATTTCGCACATGAAATTGTGATTTTGTGAGCTATACTTAGGGTTTCACCTCAGCTGCATCTGGTGCTTCTGGTTTCTGCCTAAACACTCCTGTTCCCAGCCCTATGCCGGCACGTTGAAATCAACCTGACAATTATTCATTTATAAATTTATTGTCAAAATCATGTTTTGTTCCAAAATGAAATTGAAATTCTTTTGTCCAGTAAAGTTTTTTATACATCCTCAGCACTGTTTTCATCTACTGGCCCAGGTAATTTTGCATGCAGATCTATTTATAAAATAATTTAATATATGAAATTAGGCAAATATCTCAACCCCTCTAACTTGAGGCAAAATAAAAATGATGTTCCTGGACAGTGCCTGTGGCTCAGTGAGTAGAATGCCAGCCCCATATACCAAGGGTGGCAGGTTCAAACCCAGTCCCAGCCAAATTTCAACAAAAAATAGCCAGGCATTGTGGCGGGTGCCTATAGTCCCAGCTATTCAGGAGGCTGAGACAAGAGAATCGCTTAAGCCCAAGAGCTGGAGGGTGCTGTGAGCTGTGACACCACAGCACCCTACCGAGGGTGACAAAGTAAGACTCTAAAAAGTCTCTAAAAAAAATAAAAAAGATGATCCCATTTCTCTTTACCTCAATAGTTCTATGTGTGTTCATTAATATTGTATGTGTTACAATATAAAAATAACTTTACATTATTAAAAACAATGAATGCAAGTATGGGGTAGAAAACTGACACAGATGCCAATTTCTAATACTTAGAATCTTTAATTTAGGAAATCATGATTTTTATTTTTATTTGAGTGGTAGAAACATTTATTCCTCTTCTAACTAATATTTGTTGATGGTTACATAGTCCTAATTTCTGTGGGAAAATCCCTTTAAGGCTTTATAGAGAAATACCTTAAAGAAAATGCAAATAACAACAAGTGATATTAAATCCCATGGAAATTAGTTTACTATTTATAGCTATCTATGCATACATATGTACACATTGTGATCACATATACATACAAGTATACATAATATTAACTTTATTATAGAGATGAAAACTGTGTATGTTTTAATAACAGAGATAGATTTTACATGTGTATGGGGAGTCATAATTTATAAGGAACTTCTAAGCAAGCACTGATGTAACCAGTCTGTTTATCGCATATTTAAGTGTGGATGCCACACATTCAACCTGGAATCTTGGCATCTCTAACTTTCTTTTTCTTTCCCCAGTGCTTCTACTGAAGGATTATTGAATCGCCAGTGCATTTCATGTAATTTTATGAAAGAACAATGTACATATTTTGATGCCAGTTTTAGTCCCATGAATCAACATTTCTTATTAATCTGTGAAGGTAAGTTAATATGTAACTTCTTCTTCTTCTTCTTTTTTTATTTTAGAATCTGGGTAGACTGCCAGATAATACCTGTATGACTTTTAATGGAATCTGTTATATTTAGTTTATTTGATTAATATCTAATTAGTACTATGAGTAATTATTACTCTAGCTATATTATTTGATATTCCTAATTTATAAATTTTTGTTAAAAATTAGATATTATGGATTTACTAAGATATGAGTTTTATATTGCATTTAGAAATAAAAATGAGTAGTAAGTCAACATGTATCCGTGATCATTAAGGGTTATTTGAACATAAGCATTTCGAGGTGAACAAATATATTTTATTACCTGAGCTATGCCACAAAAATAAACTAATTTATATAATCTTTAGGAAAAAGCAGTAGTCTTTTTATTAAAACAATGGCTTGGTTGGTAAGAGATTTAGGATCAATGGAAATTGAATTCCCTGCTCCAGCCTCGTTCAGTTCTGAGCAATTGCATTCACCACTATTACTTTTTCTATCTTGTAGCAATATGCTGCAGTCTTACAGGGTTGTAGAGTATCTCTGAGATACAGTCATAGAAATTATTTTCCATTTACTATGATACTGTATTTCCCAGAAATGAAATGGAATTTAGGTACCTGTGTATAATGTGATGAATTGAGGGCTACTACGTCAGCTGTTACCTTTTTTAAGACAAAAGAAGTAATATGGCAATGTTCTCTTCTTCAAGTTACATTTTCTCTTGATACATGAAATGAAGTAATCAATAAAAGAAGTACTAGTTTAATCACCCTAAGGAAAAAAATATTAGGCTTTCAACTGAGCTCCTTAGAGGAGTGAAGTTTCAAGATAACATCTTTTGGTAACAAATGAACTAGTAGATTTTACATAATTGGAGATTTTTGTTAATATATTTTTAAATTAATAATAAAATTAGCTCAAAGTTTTTATTTATTTTGCAGATGAAATATTCCAACTATGCATTCATTCTTCCATTCTTGGCTGAGTGCTAAATAGAATTTAATCTTAGATCAGTGGATTGGGGCAAAGGGTTGGAAATCAGCTTTCTGACTATTGCTGACAATCTAATAAAAGACTAGAGATACTTAGTAAAGCTCATGGGACTGGTCATACCCATAGAAATGGAGAAGTCCAGGGCATTTGTGGGGAGGGGCATCTTAACCTCTCTGCAAATAGTTTCTTTCTCCACAAGTCTTTACCTTTCTTAGTAAAATGCCCATGGATAAAAATTAAATCTAGTAATATGGTTTCTGATTTATCTTTTAACCATATAACATTTCCATTTGAATAAAAAGAACATTACTGTACAACCTTTCTAATAATTATTACTTAGGTATATATTTTAATCTCCAGGTCCCAGAGTCCCTGTGGTCAGCCTACACAGCACAGACAACCCAACCAGTGAGTATACAAGGAGACTGGGATTGATCTCAGGCACTACAATATTTATTCCGAGCATCGTACTTTATAGAACCCTCAAAGGGATTCCCAACAAGGGGAAAGCTATGCAGACAATATCAACTTGACCTTACATATGTAAGAGAAAAAATAAAAGCACTTGATATGAGCCATGTTACAACCGGGGTCAAGTCCTGTAACTCTGAAAATGAGTTTCTGTTGTACCTGAACCAACTGAGGAGAGATTGATAAGCAGATGTATTGCAGTCTACTGGCTGAATGAACGTGTTCTAATTCAGTCTTCTTTGAGCCTTGTATAAGTTATTCCTCTAGAATAATGCGTTTTGTGGTCATTTGGGAAAATGATGAAAAATATTTTATTTCATACTGTTTATTCCAAATATCCAGGGTTTTCTGGTTTTATATGTTTATCTTTTATTTATGTATTTAACTATTTATGTATTTTTTTCAACTTTCCTTTGCTTATTGAGCACTTATTTAAACAGGCAATGTGACAGAGGCTAAGGCTACATTGTTAAGATAATTTTGCCTTTAAGAACTTACAGCAGAGTGGATAAGTAAATATATTGCTGAGCTAATGTGAAAAATGAACAACCAGATTGCTGTCCGCCTTCCTTTATCTTCTCTTTCTTCCATGTTTGCCGCCTTCTTCATTATTTTATATTTGCTTAATCTATCATCTTATACTTAAAATGGTTTAACATACCTGCTGTAATACTGAGAATCATATTTATTGACTCATTTAATTAATTTAAATGATTCCATCTTACAGAAGAGAAAACTGAGGCACAGAAAGGTTAAATAACTTGGCAGAATCATAATAATAAATAGTAGATCCAGAAATAAAAGGAGGCAGGCTGACTCCAGAACAGAGTTTCTAATGAACTAAATATGATGGCAACATTTTTATTGAGTTTTTGTTTCTTATATTACATATTTATTTTTAAGTTGGAGTCTTAAATATATGTCTTGATTCAGATGAGATGTAGTTTTAAAAGTTAATATTGTCAGTCAGCAGGGTGCCAGCCACATATACTGAGGCTAGTGGGTTCAAATTCAGCTTGGGCCAGGTAAACAACAATGACAACTGCAATGAAAAAATAGCCGGGTGTTGTGGTGAGCACCTGTAGTCCCAGCTACTTGGGAGGCTGAGGCAAGAGAATTGCTTAAGCCAACAGTTCGAGGTTGCTGTGAGCTGTGACACCACAGCACTCTACCCAGGGCGACAGTCTGAGACTCTGTCTCAAAAAAAAAAAAAAAAAAAGAACAGAAAGAATTAATATTGAATAATAATATGCTATTTTGACAAAACAAAGAACATTTATACCTTCAAATATTGCCATGTGGAAACTGAGTGCCTTCCCTAAACAAAGACAGATTTCTAAATTTCTATTGGATATTTGTGTGGCTAGAAGATAGTGTAGCACATATTTTAGTGTCTTTTTGTTTTTAATCCTGTCTTCAGTATAAATCTTTTTCCTCCTTGGAGTAGTATTTTGTTTTGTTTTGGTTTTTAGTTCAAAATATTTAAGGGGTATAAATATTTTAAGTACATGAATAAAGCACATTAAATCTATTCAATATTAATTCTAACAGCAAAATAATGATAATAGACACTATGGCTGATGAAATGTAAATAAAATTGAATGTCACAGAAAAATCTATATAAAATGCGTCCATCACATACTTTTGTGAGATTTAAGACAAGTTAGTTAATCTCTCAGAGTCAATTTCCTCATAGGCAATTAAACAAATGAATTTTTAGTGAGTATAAGGTATATTCATGACATATAAAACATACAAGATCTATTTGTCTTACATTGCAGATTTTATCATCAAAAAAGGATAATGTAATTTTTGAAAAATCTAATGTTAATTTAATTTTATGCAACTGTTACAGCACATTTTTTTTCTAGTATCCTCTGCTGCAAAGTATAAATATTTGCATTTAAGGGAAATCTTCCTGATTTTCCCATTCAAAAGCCAATTTTCAATGCCTCAGGATCAAGAAAGACAAATAAGGTCTGTTAACCCCACTAATGTGCTTAATTTTCTTTTCAAATGACAATTACGTAGGGTGATAAAATTTGTATCCAATGGCAAGTAAACCTTTGAGTTAATAAAAGTGAGTATATAGTCATAATTTACTTTAGGGCCATATGAATTAGAATGGGACTTGAGGAGAAAATGTAGAAAGGGGAAATAAAAATAATTTAACAAATGTAGAAAATCTTTAGACCTACTGCTTTTCAAAGAAAGGCAGAGTAAAATATAGTCATGATTTTTCCAAAGAAATAACATGACAAATTTTACATTACTAGTGAGGATACAATGAGGCTTTTCTAACATGCTGATGGAATATAAATTATAGCTAATATTTTGAAAAAGTAACTTTTTTCAAGTTGAAGGATAAATTTTTTGTATCTATGTATTCCTGTTTTTAGTTTATGAGTACTGAAGAAGTAAATCTAAGTAAAGACTATAATATCAAAGCTGTTTATAATAGTAAAGCACATTATGAATGACGAATTTATATAAATTTTATTTGTAAGTAAATTTCATTGTGCTATTATTCAGTGCCCTGGATATCTCCTATTTGTTGTCCTAGAACCACCTTTAACTCTCAGTTCTTCTCTTGCATGTTCTCTGTCTCAGATGTGGTTTGCATTGAGGACTTAGGCCACACTCCTCTGTGGCTGATGATTGGATTCAACCAAAGAGAATTCTGTAGGCAACTGGGTTGAGGGAGACAGTGATTTGGGTTACCTATTCTACCGGCCCTGTCCCTGTGGACAAAACACTTAGCTGGTTATAAATAAGAAGACACTCGATGAGCTTAGGCAGAGCCAGCACTCTCACAGTGCTGGGACAGGTTCAAGTTCCAATCAAGTGAATAGCTGAACATTTAGGAGGGATGCCTGAAGAGTCTTATTAGTACTCAACTAGCCACAGAGCTAGCAAAGGACACTCAAACCCACACACAAAAAAAGGTATCTTAAAAAGTTTTGATAGGATCAATCTGACTAACAAGTAACTCAAACATCTGCCAGAATAAAGTCCAACAATTTTTAAAAGAACCCAATGAAATACAAAATTTTAAAAAGTAAACATCACAATGGTCCATATCTAATAAAAATTACTGACTTCATAAAAAATCAGAAAACCTGATTCGTAACTAGAATAGAGGTCAGTAAATGAAAACAGACCCAGAAATGACACAGGTGATGGAAGTCATTGACAAATACAGTAATTCAGCTGTTATAAATATTTAAAATTAACAGGAAAAAATGAATATAGTGAGAAAACAAAGATATTATTTTTGTAAAATAACATTGTAAACTTTAAATAAAAAATCTGAGATAAAGCCTTCACGGAAAAATACTAAAGACATATTAGAAACTGCAGAAGAAAAGCTCTTGAAACAGTATCAGTAGAAACCTACCAGACACGCAGATGAAAATAAAGAAAGAAATAGAATTGAAGGTAACTGTGGCCAATATTTGCATCTATCATATTTGTAATTATAATCAGAAAGGGGAGCTTAGAAAAAAATATTGGCTGCAATAATAAAAAGTACTTTTCAAAAACTGATGAAAAATAAAAAAAATTTTTTTCAACTAATCCAATGCAAGGTAAATCCTAGTAAAACTTTACTAGTATACTTCACATGCAAACTGCAGAAAACCAGTGGAAAAGGAGGAAAGAAATCTTGAATCATCAAAAATAAAAAGACATATGACATTCATACATTATATCCGTAGTATGTATTAACAAAGAATGATTGCAGATATCAGAAAAAAGCAAGCTGAAAGACAATAAAACAAATTATTTAAAATGCTCATGGAAAATCAAACTGATCTGAAAAAAAATTCTCAATTAACAAACTTATAAAATACTCTTTAAAACTGAAGGCAAAATAAAGTTTGAAGAGGGAAAAAAGCTGAGAATGTTTTGCCACCAGACTTGCATTTCTAAATAACACACAGATGAAAAAAGGAAAATGACAAGTACTTAGAAAAATCTTAGCCAGAACACAACAGATCCAAATTCAAAGATAGCGACACATGACTGGAAAATAATTGATGATTTTAAAGGATTACTTTTTATAGAAATAAAGGTTTAGTATCAGTGATCTCAGCTTTCACTTTAAGAAACAAGAAAAAGAAAAAAAAATTAAAACAAAGTTGAAGAAAGGAAATAATAAAAATTAGGGTGGAAATAAGTAATATGGAAAATGGGCTAGAAGTAGAGAAAATGTATAAAACCAAGCGATGCTTCCTCTTTGAGATTAATAAAACTGGTAAGATTTTAGAAAGTAATATGAAAAAAAGGAGCAAAGTATAATGTCATTACCATTTTCGTTAGTAAAATAGATGATGTTAATACAGATCCTGACAAAAATGGGACATTATAAGTAATTATTTTATGCTAGTAAATTTGACAGTTTAGATCAGTGTTTCTCAACCTTCCTAATGCTGCGACCCTTTCATACAGTTCCTCGTGTTGCGGTGACCCCCAACCCTAAAATTGTTTTCGTTGCTACTCTATAACTGTAATTTTTGCTACTGTTATGAATCGTCATGTAAATACCAGATATTAGGTGACCCCTGTGAAAGGGTTGTTCGATCCCCAAAGGGGTTGTGACCTGTGGTTGAGAACTTCTGGCTTAGATGAAAGGAACAAATTCCTCAAAAAAACATATATTGCTAAACATTCATGAGAAGAAATACAACATATAAATGTTTTTGTAACTACTATAATTGTTAATTCACAATTAACATTCTTCATTTCTGCTTATCTTCTCCGGTTCATTCTACGCAACATTGAGTGCATTATTACCAAGTGGACACGCTCTTTTAGAAAAGATAAGGCAGCATTAATCAGATTGCAAATCCCGACATAAACATGACAAGGATGAAATGATCCAATTTTCTCATGAATTTAGGTGCAGAATTTCTTAATTAAATGCTAGCAAGTCAAACCTAGCAATTTATAAAAAGATAATGCCTTATGGCCATATGGGGTTTACTCGGGAATTCATGACTGTTGCAACCTTCAACAATCTATCATTGTAATTCACCATATTACACTGACATCTGAAATGATTTAGGAAAAACACATTTGATAAATTGACAAATAATATTAATAAATTAATAGTAATTACTCTGCAGGATAAAAATGGAAAGGAATTTCCTTAACTTGATGAATGGTATCTACAAAAATAATACAGCTGACTTTATGCTTAGTGGTGAAAGACTGAGGTGGTTTTCCAGGGTTGGGAAAGTCGAGAATGACTGCTCTCAGCCTTCTCAGCTTTTCTGTGCCCCATTGTCATAGAGTCCTTAACAGGAAAATTAGTGAGATAAAGAAATATAAGTAGTAGAGCTGTCTTTATTTGCAGAAGACATACTTGTGGGCAAAGCACAAAAAAAAGAAGGAAAAAATTGTAGAATACACATCAAATGAACTGTGGTAAATATATGAATTTATCATGATTAAAGGTATAGGACAATGTATAAAATTCAACTATTTGATGAACTACAATGCAAATTTTAAAAGTAGTTTAAAATAACACTTAAAAAATATCTGGCCAGGTACTGTGACCAGCTCTAATCCTAGCCTTTTGGGAGCCTCAAACAGGAGGATCACTTGAGCCCAGGAATTTGACACCAGCCTGGGTAACATAGCAAGATGCCATCTCTACCAATTTATAAAAAATTAGCTGGGTTTGGTGACATGCCAGTAGTCTCAGCTACTTACCATGCTTAGACTGGAGGATTGCTTGAAGCTAGGAGTTTGAGGTTGCAGTAAACTATGATTGCACCATTGCATTCCAACTTGGAAAAAGAAAAATATCAAATATTATAGATTATCTGTGAATGAATATAATAAATTATATATATGAATGTCTATATATTTCATTATATATTCCATGTAAAGCATTTGGGAGGAATTAAAGACTCAAATGAATATAGACGCACATATATAACTTATGGATTAGAAGACTTACCAATCTATGTATAAATTTTTTGATGCTCTCTTCATGTTTTTTTTTAAGTTTTTTTAGTTTTTATATTTTCTATAATTATATTTTCAAATTCATTACTCTTTTTTTCTTCAGTATCTAATATTCTGTTAATCTCACCCAGCCTAGTTTTCATTTTAAGTCATGTAATTTTCATGTATTTCAGATTCTGCAGTTTTACTTTTAGAAATATATATCATGCTTATGATTTATCTACCTTTCTGGACACTCAGACTATAGTTGCAGACTCAGTTTTAATGTCCTTATCTATGTAATTTCTGGGTTGGGTCTATTGAGTAAATTTTACCCTCTTCTAAAGTTTTCCATGCATATTAATTTTGCATTGGCATTTAGACATCGTGAATTTTTTTCTCGTTTAGTGTTAGATAATTTTCTATTTCTTTAAATATTTTTAAGCAGGACAGCAACATGATCAGATTTGCATTTTGAAAATGTAAATGCTAATTATAATATGTAGAAGCAAACAGAAAATTTCACTGGAATGAAGGAAGCTGTTAGAAAACTCCTGTAGTAATTCAGGAGGAAAAGGGGAAAGTTCAGTTAGTAGCTAGCACAGCGTCTACCAAGAGGTAACAACTGGTAGTTTTTTGTTATATTGTACTGATCCTTGATTCATGCACAGGAGTTCTGTATTTACACTATTATTTTTGGTTTGCAGAATATTTTATATTGGAAAGCAATTCTATGCTGAAGGAAGCAATCTTGAAAAAGAAGCTAGCCAAGTCAGAAATCAAAACCCTTCATATTGACGACTATGGTAAAGTTCTGTGCATGCTGTTATTCGAGAACAACTTTCTCTGCTGCTTAGTTTTACATGTAAATGACTCCCCATCTTTAATATTTTGCTCTTTCTTTAAAAGAACTTCCTTTACAGTTGTCCTTTCCCAAAGATTTTATGGACCGAAACCAGTATGCTCTTCTGTTAATAATGTAAGTATTTTATTTGTTTTTGAAATAAAGGAATCTAAAGATTTTATGATTTTTCTCATGCCTCTCATCACAGCATTCTGATCGAATAAGCAGAGAGCCCTATGTGTGTAGGTAACCAGGGCAGCTGCCAGTTGTGTGAGTTTCTCAAGGAGCCCCTCTCTAATTATGTGTAAAGATATGGAATTTTGTGTACTTCTTTTATCCCAAATGCTATAAGATTTGATGGTACTGCAGAAATAGTGCCATCAGAAAGTGTAGTTTTTGCATGTCTACTTAGCAATTACTCAAGCCCTATGCTCTTTATGAAACATTAAGAACAAATATTTTTCAATTGCTGAAGCAATTGGTATATTCATACCATTCCTAACAATTTTCCCTTTTGGATTCATGGCCAGTAGGAAGTAGCTCCTATTCTCAGAAAACCTGACTCTTGAGATTTTCAGCCTTGAAATTGACTTTAAAATTGAATTCACTGATACTCTCTGTGAGACTGTGTTGCGGCCGTGTAAGATTAGGCACAGAGCCTCTAACATCTACAGAGTAACTCCCTGGAATATTGATTTATCATTGTATTACCCAGTAGCATATTGAAATGACAGTGCTTCAAATTATCTAGAATTACTTCTAGAGTCTTGGTAGCAACAGTAAATATGAAAATGATACTATTTATTGTGATTACTGAAAGTAGAGGCTAAGTATTCATTCCATTCAATGAGATTTTCTGAGCTTGAATTCTAGTTTTGCCATTTATTATCTGCGTGTCCTTGGACAAGTTACTTAACCTCTTGCAAAGCTCAGTTTCACTAAATATAAAATGAGCATTACAATATAACCTGTGTTTTAAGACTGCTTTGTAGATTAAATGAAAAGCAGCATCATAAAGCCTCTTATAAAATGCCCAGACATATGATTTATATAATTTGGGGGAATTAATTTATTCTTTTTTATGGATTGCATTGATTTTATTTAAATTTTATTTAGACTCATAAGTAATCAGTTTTCCCGCTTTATTTTTAACAAGCCAATTATTAGAATAAAGCAATACTTAATATTCTCTCCCACTCCAGTGCTCACTCCTAATTCTCATGACTCGACCTCACATAGTTTCTTATTTCCAGACCTTTCCGCTTTGTCCATAATAATCAAAAGGTTCCGAGTGTTCTTGGAGACTGTAAGGAAGTTCTTATTTGGTCTCTTTTAACTTCTTAGTTGTCTGTTCTCCTTACCTAGTTTTCTTACACTCCCATTTGAACTATAGGTATGATTTGTTGAAGAAAACATTTAAAGCACTAAAATTGAGGAAAAAGGAAAAAAATCGACTTCAACTTCTTTCTCAGTCATGCCTCCTTTTTGTGAAAAGAGATTGTTCTTTTGAGTAAATGCAAAATGTAGTTACTCAGAAAAAGGGACCCTCCTAGGCATCCCTAGTGTGTACTGAACTTAAAATGAAAGATAAAAGAACGGGCCGTGTGTAATGCATAGCTCATTTATGCAGGTGATGTGTAGACAGTTGTTTTTGTTTGTGCATCAGCCGGCTTTAGCACAGCGGTACACCTTGGGGCAGTGCAGACAGAAGTGAGAGTCTGTGTTCTTAGTCAGGGAAGCTGCTGGCTCATCTCCTCATCAGACTTGTGCTTTGGTCTGGTTGATGTTTAGGTCACTGGAGAAATGTAAGGACCTGAGTAAGAAGCTAACTTAAAGATTTCTCTTGTGGGTCTTTCTGAGAAGCAGGATAGTAAAAATCCTGGGTATGGAGTCAGGTAGGACTGGGTTCAGGTTGCCACTATAAGATTTACCAGTATACTGCTCAATTGTCCCTAGTTGTCCTTACTTTATAAAGTGAGGAAAATAACATGGTTTAATATTATATAAAAATACATGACCATGGCCCTCACCTGCCCTTCTGTTCTCTAGCTCCTCTGATTTTTCCTTTAGTTATTGTTCTGTCCTTTCTCTCAGTTGCTCTTCCACTCTGCTGCTAGGCCGAACTTGATGAAATCCATATCTGAAAATGTTCATCTCATGAGTTTCAATATTCAATTGATTAAAATTTCGTATTTTCCCTCACAACATGTTTTCTACTTATCTCCCCATCTTCATCGCACACAGCCAGCCCTACAGGTAAACTCCATGCAGAGGAAAGGCAACCAGTCTGTTCTGGGGAATGTCCCTCCTCAATCACCCCCCTGGGTTTTTACACAGCATACCAGTTCCTTTAGTTTCCTTGCCCAATTGGAAAAATTCTATTAACACTGCCTGACATATGTCTAGATGAGCACATCTCTACTATAAGCATGTAACTATGCTGGAGATAAATATGTGTGTGTGTGTGCGTGTGTGTGTGCGTATTCTTTGCTGTCTCTTTTATCAAACTGCCAGCTCCTGGTTGGTAAAAGCTGCTTTTGGATTCTTTAGCCTTAACACAACAACTGGAGCATGAGTTGATAGAATTAATGAATATCTGAATACATGAATGAAAAAGTAAAATAATCAATTAATCTGGGAGTTCCTCATCGGGAATAAGTTAAGACAAAGTGGGGAAAGCAGAAGAACTAAATGATTTGACAGTTTGTAACATGTATAAATTTAGCCTTCAGGGTGAGTTTCTTTGCAGTTTGGTTTCCTATTAACAGAATGAGATGTGGATTTCTGATTTCATGTACTCACCTGGTTATTGTTGAATATTGATTGATTTTCATGGCATCTCTTCACTGTTATTTTTTATAATTTGATTATTGAGCTTATTTTCCTAAGATGATAAAAATTAATATTATCTACCATTGATTGTTTATTGTGCAAGGAGTATCATGCTAAGAATTTACTGATAAGATCTTTAATCTTTATAGAAACCATGCAAGATAAATATTTTTGTCCTCATTTTAACACAAGAAAACTAGGGCTACAGCGCGCGCTATGGCTCAAGCGGCTAAGGCACCAGCCATATACACCTGAGCTGGCAGGTTTGAATCTAGCCCGGGCTGCCAAACAGCAATGACAGCTGCAACCAAAAAATAGCCGAGCATTGTGGCAGGCACCTGTGGTCCCAGCTACTTGGGAGGCAGAGGCAGGAGACTCACTTGAGCTTAGGAGTTGCTGTGAGCTGTGATGCCACAGCACTCTACCCAGGGTGATAGGTTTAGGTGCTGTCTCAAAAAAATTAATAAATAAATAAAAGAAAACTATGGCCAAAATGTGTCATGTATATTTTACCCAAGATCCTGAGCAGGGAAAACCTGGAGTTTGGACCCAGTTTTACATATTACATATATATATATACTACATGTGATATATATATAATATGCACAGTACATATATATACATACACATACATACGTATATATGTATATATCTACATACATATATATATATATAAAATCAAAAATCTCTACCATTGTACTCATTACTGCTGCTTATATAGTCTATTATATTTTAATAATTACTGTTACATTATCAAAGAATAGTAACCCATCAGAAGAGGCTTCTTTATGGTCAAAATCTTAGGACCTTTTGTTCTTCCCACTTAACAGTTTATAATGAGCTCTGAAATGTAGCATTTTCCATGTGCTCTGGGCTAATGCTGCATTGTAAAATATAAATTACAGAAATCACGGCCGAGTTCATGAATATCCTACATGAGAGATCCAATTCCCACCCCAGATTATTTCATAAAATTCTAAATTCTAATCAAAATGTTCCCTTGATGGGAAGCCATTATGCTTTATTTGTATCACAGATTCCTAAACTTTTGAGCAGATCAGATTGTCAGAGGTGAGTTTGTTTTACTTCCCAGAAGTAAAGACACACATATTCCCCAAGCCACTAACATATTTTGAACCTCTATTCGTTCATACCAAATACACATCCACTTTACCCTCAGTTTCCTGGAAAAGTGATATGAATAGTGTCAGATATAGATGAGAATGGTAAGTCATCCATACCACTGCTTGTCTCAACGTATTTATCTCAAAGAGTGATTATTATTGTTTTGCCATGTAATAAGTTTCAAAGCTTAAATATTAAGTTTCTTATTTTTTAAAATCTTCCTCATTTCAGTGGATGGAAATTGCACCCACTCTGTAATACACATAAAATGATCACAGGAGAAAAGGCAGTGGCATTTAATCTAGGTAATGGAAGGGGAGAAGGTGACCATTTCTTTTCCTGTTTTTATTGAACATATTTAACCTTGTTCTTTCACAATCTGTAGGCAATGCATCTGAAATGTCAGTATTAATGTCTTAAATTAATTTAAGAAAGTTGAACAAACTCAAAGTTGATTTACTAAGAAAGTACCATAGGAGAAAAGTTCAAATTTCAATAAATGTGTATGTAATGCCTAAATGACAATATTCTCTGGGGTGATTCATTTAAATCTTTTTTTCCTCATATTCACGGAAAATGAGACCTGTGTTAACAGAATCCGTATAAATTATATGATTCATATAATCCGTATAAATTATATGAATGGCATGATATGATTTCACATGTATAGTATAGGTTCATTAAAGTTCTTTTTTAAAATAAAACTTAAAATATAACATAAACTTAAAGATATACTACTAAGCACTTTTTACTTTTTTAATAAGAAATAATGCACTTCTTAAACCACCTAGGTTTTAGGTTTGGATATATTGAGTCATAATTGTTAAGAGGGATCTATATGAAATCAGGCTTTTTTTATGTTTTAATAAGTTGTTTCCTCCCCCCCCAAAAAAAGCCTGTTAGAAAGAATGTGAACTATTTTATTGATTAAACATAAAAACTTAAACTAAAAATATTAAGATACAGAGTTTTCTCTCCAGGATTACATATCCATACAGTGCTACATTTGAAGGGTACATCTATGACATTACATTATTTCAGCGTTCTTTTATAAATGTATCCCTTTGCCTTACATATAAAAACATGGTATCATGATTCACATAAGGCTATATGTAGGCAAACTGAGAAGAGTGAAAGGCTGCCCAGGATGATGGGAGGCCAGAGCTACAGGCTTTGCT